GCACAAATAATTCGGTTGCGAGCATATTTGTCTGATTAGGCAATCAAAACAATTCATCTTGACAATACTAATGAATTTACATCTCAAGTCTTTAATATTGCATATTAGTTAAAAAAACAATTGAATAACGTGTTGCTTATATTCACATACAAAACGGTCTAACAGAATTATTTATTAAACACTTTCAACTAATTGCAAGGCCATTACTTATTAAATTAAAACTCCCAATGTCTACTTGAGGGCATGCTATTTTGGACGCAGCAGCATTTGTATCCATTAGGCTAAATGAGTTATTATAAATTCTCCCTATACAATTGGTTTATGGTTAGGAACCAAATATTTCCCATCCAAAAATTTTTGGATATGTGGTATATGTTTCAATTGCTCTACCACAATGCACAAAAATGGGTCCTCAAAGGAAGTTAGGAATATATGTTGGACACGAATCTGTATTTGTAATTAAATATCTAGAACCCTCAATAGGAGATTTATTCATAAAAAAGTTTGTCAATTGTCATATTGATTAAACAATTTTTCTGACGTTAAAGGAGAAAAATAAGCAACTGCAAAAGAAAATTTCTTAGAATAAATTATCATTATCTAGTTTTGATCATCACATAAATCAATAGGAACTTGAAGTTCAAAAAATAATTCTTTCACAAAATATAGTAAATTAGTTGCCAGACGTATTTACTAACCTAAAAGAAATAACTAAATCTCGTATACCAGTTACAAATGCTTTTATTAGCATTGATGTCCTTGTAGGACAAGGCATGCCAAAAGCATTGGGATCAATCGGTTCTAAAGGTTAAATCCTCGAAAAGAAAAAAAGCGAATATTCTCCAAAAATAAAATCCTCGAAAATAAAAGGGGCAAATATTCGAGATGGTTAAAAAAAAAAAAAGGAAGTAGAAACACTAGAAAAAACCCTTGACATAATTGATAAAAATTTCAAAAGAAATTCAGATGCCTAAAATCAGTAAAAATGAAGAGATCTTAATCAATTATATCATGACGGGAAAAAATGGAATTGGAATCAAATAAACGTCGATGATATTTTTGTATATAATATAGCGCTCAATCTTATGAAAAAAAAATGAGGATCTTGAATTTATATTTACTAAAGAATGTAAACATAGAAATGATTTAGCCAATGTGAAAAAATACAATCAAAGTGGAATTAAATTCACTAGCAAAACATGAAGTTTTTAGACCTATAGTATGTACACCAAATAATGTAAAACCAATGGGATTTATTTATGCAGAAACGAAATAAAAAATATGAGATTATGAGATATAAAGCATGACTTGTTGCATAAGATTTTACCCAAAAACCTAGTAATAATTATGAAGAGACATATTCTCTTATGGTGGATGTAATTATATTTTGATATTTAATTAGTCTAGTAATACATGAAAAGCTTAAAATGCATTTGATGGATATAGTTACAGTCTATTTATATGGCTCACTTGATAATAATATCTATATGAAAATCCTTGAATGATTTAAGTTGCCTAAAGTATAAAATGTGAATTCTCAAAAAAATTATTCGATCAAATTAAATAAATTTTTATATGGATTAAAACAATCTGGATGCATATAGTATAATGGTCTTAATGAATATTTGTTGAAAGAATGCTATAAAAATAATCTTATATACCCACGTATTTTATAAAAAGGTTTAGATATGAATTTATCATAATTGTTGTTTATGTTGATGACTTGAACATTGTTGGAACTCTTGAAGAATTATCAAAAACTATAGAATATTTAAAGATTAAATAAATTTTTATATGGATTAAAACAATCTGGATGCATATAGTATAATGGTCTTAATGAATATTTGTTGAAAGAATGCTATAAAAATAATCTTATATACCCACGTATTTTATAAAAAGATTTAGATATGAATTTATCATAATTGTTGTTTATGTCGATGACTTGAACATTGTTGGAACTCTTGAAGAATTATCAAAAACTGTGGAATATTTAAAGAGAGAATTTGAGATGAAAAACCTTGAAAAACAAAGTTTTGTTTAATTCTTTAGATTGAGCACTTGACAAATAAAAATTTTTTCCATCAATCTAATTATATAGCAAAAATGATAAAATAATTTTAAAAGGACAAAATATATCCATTGAGTTCACCAATAGTTGTAAGATCATTAGATGTGAAAAAAAAAAACATTTTCCAACCTCGTGAGGATAATGAAAAACTTCTTGACCTTGAAGTATCGTATCTTAGTCTAATTAGAGCACTAATGTATCTTACTGGTAATGCATGACTTGATATATCAATTGCTGTAAATTTATTATCACTATATAGTTCTTTTCCAACTCGAAAACATTGGAATGGAATTAAACATATATTTCAATATCTCTGAGGAACACTATATATGGGCTTATATTATTCAAATGCATTAAAATCAAATTTAATTAGTGTGAATGCAGGATATTTATTTAATCCACACAAAACTCGATCCTTGATAGGTTTCTAATTTACATGTGAAAGTATGACTATTTCATAGTATTTTGTAAAATAAACTATAATTGGTATTTCTTCTAACCACGTAGAAATTTTAACAATTCATGAGACAAGTCATGAATGTGTCTGGTTAAGATATGTAACTCAATATATTTGAGAAATATGTGACTTGTTAACTAAGAAAAAAATTCCAACAACATTATGCAAGGATAATACTAATTGCATAGCACAGTTAAAGAAATGATACATTAAAGGCGATCGAACAAAACATATTTCGCCAAAATTCTTTTTCACTTATGTTCTCTAATAAAATGGTGATATTAGTGTTTAACAACTTTGTTCAAGTAACAATTTAGTAGATTTATTCACTAAAATCATTCTTATTCCAACATTTGAAAAACTGGTACAAAAGATTGGAATGCATCATTTTGCAGTCATCAGAAAAAGTAAAATACACACTGTACTCTTTTTCTTCATCAAGGTTTTTCTAGGTGGGTTTTTCTTAATAAGATTTTTAATGAGATAGTATTTCAAAGGCATATTCTTAAAAAGATTATGTACTCTTTTTCCTTCATTCGAATTTTTTTTCATGAGATTTTTTTCTAGTAAGGTTTTAACGAAATATATTCTTCATACAATGGATATTTAAGGGGAAGTGTTATAAATAATTTTGTGAATATCTATTTATGTTATTTATATCTAGATTTGATGTAAATTAGATTGAATTAGGATTTAATCCATCTAATTCCTAAATGTTATCTTTATCTTATAAATTCTATCAAGATAAAGGGGTTATTTGCCTATAAATAAGCCTCTTTAGTTCATTTATAAACATACACTTCAATAAGATCTCTTCTCTCTCCTTAAATATTTTCTTTCTTCTCTTTAATTATTCCTTCAAGTTATCTTTATTTGTTCTTTTAAGTTATAATTTCATAACAACAAGAAATTAGTACCAAAAGTATTATTAAATAAAAACGAAATTAAAGAGCATGTATTACTAAAATATTATTAAATTATTTTTGTATTATGGTAAAAAAATTACTTATTTGCAATAAAGAATTTTTTTTCTCGTCATGGTATTTTTGTTTTTTACTTAAAAAATTTTTAAATTTTAGTAAAGGGTAGTTTTATCATTTACCAATTATTCCTTAATTATTCTTAAAATTATTCATGCCAGCTAAACAATGAAATAAGTAATAAGTAATTCTTTCTTATTCCATTCTCATGAATTAATCTATATCATAGCTATTCTTTTCCTATATTATTCTCTTAGAAGGATTATTCCATTCTCATTTTATTCCTTCCTATGAACCAAGCATACTAAAAGGTTCTAAAAGCAACACAATAGGCAACGAAAATATGAGAGAATGAAGAGAGGAAAGCTTGAATGAAATGAGATTTTATTCTCAAACTTTATGTGCCTTACAAATAGGCATAAGTAGGGTATTTCTAGACACAATAGTCTTTTTTTTTTTTGTTTCGAAAGCAGCATGATAGTTTCTTATCTAACTTATCTACAATTTAAATTTCAAATAAATGGTTAAGATCAAGGTATTCGAATATGAAAGAGAGGAAAGTTTGAAAGAAATGACATTTTATTCCCAAATTATATGTGCTTTACAAATGAACATAACTAGAGCAATTATCGACATGATAGTCTCTTTAACTTATTTACAATTTAAAATAAATGATTAAGGTTAAGGTATTGGAATTTGAATATTCACCTTATTTACATCATTCAAATTTGAATCTTTAATTTTTAATATTTAAAATTTATTAATTTTTAAATATTATTTTTAGTTTATTTACTTAAATTTAATAATAACAATTTTTATTTTTATTTTTATTTTATAAAATAAAAGTAAATATAAAAGCTTTTTAAAAATATAATTTGATTTGATTGGAGTAATTTTGAGATTTCTCTTTATGAATTAAACCGAATAGATCTTTTAAGTCTTCGCATCAAATAAAAAAAATAAAAAACTAATTTGAACCTAATGCAACAATTTGAATTAATTTTTATTTTTTTTTACTAAGCCTTAAGAGGTGTGAGTTAAGTGTAATAAATTTACAAAATTATCTCTCTTTAGATTTTATATGTTATCTCCACTTACAAAAGAATAATAATAATAAAAGAATGTAATTTTAAAATTTTTTTCAACTCATCAAATAATGAATAAAAAGAAAATGAAATTTTCTACTCACCTTTTCATCTCTCTTACCAAACACATCAAATAAACATAAATTCTCTTTTTCCACTTCTCACATTTTTCTATTCATCATAAAAAGCAAAACCTAAGTCTGTAATTGAGTGGGTGAAGATGGAAAGAGGCTTCATTGTACATGACAGGGAAGTCATAAAAAAAAATCACTTGACACAAGTCACTACCAAACTAACCAAACAAATTCTGGATAATAATAGTAACATAAATAAAAATAAATAAATAAATAAAGAAGCACACACAACAAAGCATTCTAAACGAAGTACATTATGGCACAAGTTGAAGAGAGTTACAAAGAAAAATCAGCTCTTTCGATTGAGGCTTTAGCCGGTTACATTTTTCTTCTCTTACAAACATTACAACTAAACAAATTAATCTCAGCCACCATAGTGTTATGCTTGTTTAAATTCAACAATATAACAATATCAACAGTTAGATATTTAAAATTTTGAACTTGGTGACCTTACAAAGGTACAGTTTTGGAAGAACCAAAACCTGGAGTTGTAAGTGTCTATGGACAAGATTTAGGAATATTAAGTACTAGGAACATGAATGAAGAGGTTAGGATATGAACACTAGAGATTAGGTACAACCTCATGAAATGGAAAAATTCAGAGGAAACTTCCACCCGAGAATTATGTCATCTGTTAGCAGCCGCTTGAAGTCATCTGGAAGTAGCCACTCTTCTTAGAATAGAGTTTCAAGCAGTTTCGGAGAAGAAAAGGTTGCCACAGATTTGAACTGGTATAACAACAACCTCATTAGAGAACACTTGAATCAATAATACTACAGTTTTAAATGATGCAAATTCATTTTAATATTTAATCAAGTATAACTCAAGTTCAAAGAAGCTGTTACCCTTTGTTGTCTATATTTCATGCGTATAGCATTTAGAGGACAACCATTGGTGTTCAACTGTAAATCTTGCAATGCAAGAACTGTAGTTTTGAGATCTGATGCATTGTATGCCGTGTGGTGTTTGAGAGTTGGATTCTGCCAAAAAGGAGAATAAAATAAGCCCTAGATATATTGCATAGAACCAAATGAAGGACAGATGAATAGAATACAAACCCATGGGTGACAAGACTGATCCAAAGTCCATCTGGCAAGAAACACAGCTGATGCAGCAACGATAGAAGGAGGGAAATTTAAGAAACCATAGTCAATTAGTGTCAGTTCTGCTAGATAATTTGCCAAGAATTCCAGTTCTATGCTAGGGCTCTGCAATTGAGAATTAGGAGCCAAAAATTCAGTCATGTGCTAAAAGATAAGGTGCTTTTTACCATCTGAATTAAGGCCAGTTCTATCCCCTACTAAATATGTTACCATGTATGAAGCTTGTGCTGCTCTTAAAAATCTCCTGAAAACCACAAATTTAGGCAGGAAAGAGCATTAGGAAGATGAATGGAGCATTATAGGACTGTCAGCATTGCATATGCATACTTTGGATTGGACAAAAATACCTGAGAAAAGTTTTTGCAGTTGGTGCAAATATTTGAAAACCAAAATACTTCAATACTTGACTCTCCATTTTTAGCACCTGCCAATTTCTTTTAGTGAGAAATGTAACTAAAAGTATCAAACAAGGGAAGAAAGGAAGAAAATGACATAAATTAATCCAGATTTTAAACTTCGCTTGGCTCGTTTTAGTGCAGTAAAGGTAACCAGACCAATTCATTACCCCAACCTTTATGTGCAAAGTCAACTACATAGCTACATGCATGGATGCATGCATACATAAATAACATGCATATGGACATGCATGTGCCCCAATATAGTTGTTCATGTCAACCCCAGCATTATTTTATATAGCTCAATATCAAAGCTAGAACCTAACTGCCAATGCAGAAAATCTGGGTCAAAAACTTTTAAAATTCATTAACAGCCACTAGGGAAAAAAGGAAGGAAAGAAAACCGCCAGAGCTAACCATCCTTCTCCTCTTCTCACCTCCCTCTTTTACTTTTCTTTTTTATTTGAAGTCAGAAAAATTCCAGTTTCAAGCCACATAGCTCTTTTCTTGTATTTCTTAAGCTCTAACCTATATTTGCCCATTTCCCAAATCAATGACAGCAAATATTCCATGCCCCATGCTTTAATCTAGCTACTTAATTGGCAAACAGAAAACTCCTACAGCACAAAATAAAAGCCATGTGGAAAATAAAGACGACAAAAGAAGTAACAGGCTGTTCCAAAACTTCATGAAAGTGTAAGTACATGATTATTGGTAAAGCAATAATGACATACCTCCTCTCTAATGTAAGTGTTGTCTGTAATGAAGCAAAATTCCTCTACACGCGGTGCACATATTTCTTCATACTTGCTTCAAGTATAAAGATAAACCAAAGTTAAAATTACAATAGGAAAGCAGTTGCAGAAGTTATTTTATGATGAGCGCACCATTGATATCTCTGAAGCTTCGAGATTAAACCATTTTAAGTACACTAACCAACTAGGCTCATTGTGCTTAAGTAATATTCACACAAGAATAATTATAACTCCGTTAACGGTTATAGCATGACGCCAACATGGAAATCACTTTTCCTACTTGCAATATTGGTGGTTGTTAAACTTGACATGAAACTTTTCTAATCATTTAAATTTTGGACTGTCTCTCAAGCATTCTGATAATATCTATCAATTTTTCAATGTTATCCTTATTCAGCCACTTCCTTCTTCACAACATAACTGTCAGTGCTTTGCATAGAGGATGATTATTTAGATTCAAGGGTGTTCATCTTCACTTTCTAATTTCAGCATCTAATGTATTTGCAGTTCTAAATAAAAACTAAAATTTTGAATTTCTGACTGAAAATAAATCACGCAACAAACTCTGCTATGGATGTGAAAGCTTACGAGGCTATGAGCATGCAAGTGATCCCAAGCAGTTGAAGTCTCTGTCTTTCTATGAAGTTTTGAGAGAGAAAGCAATCAATTAGACACACTGTGAGGTATAGTGTGTCAGGCACCAACTTATATTCTTCAGATACCTGAAACCAAGATGTTACTTCCTTTTAACTTTTGTATACGAAACAAAGAAATTAATTGTGTCAAGAAATAGCCACTATAAACAGCCTAAAACATATGGTTCATTTTCAACCAAAGCTCAAAAGCATTTAACAGTATTGAAATGTCAACACCCTTTAATGGTGATATGCATCAGGAACAAGCAAAACATTTGTCATACCTAGATCAAAGCATTGTTGCTTCAAGATATTAAATGATGTGTTATTGGACATATTTTTTTGATACAAATTTAATTGGGAAGCTTGTTTGTACTTTCAAAACCTAAAAGCCTAACTTTCCATCACTGTACATTTTATGCGATTATATATATTCAGATAGCACAACAATGCTAACCTCCACAAGCCAGTCAACTAAAATTCCCCTCATGCTTTGAGTGATATCTCGCTGTATTGTCTCCATAAAATTAGGATACGGCCTGCGAACAAGCTGAAGGGAAAAAAAAGATTAAACCAAATGTAAAGATTAAACATTCTTGCTAAGAAAAAGACTGTAGAAAGACAAAAAGTTCCCTTTTTCACTCCCTGACTGAAGTAGGAATTGAGAAGTGAAACCACAAATGCTATTGGATGGAGACGAGTAAATGCACACACAAAGTATACTAGAGTTCAAAAAAAAAAAAGTAATAAAATTTTAAGCATACCCAAAAATGAAAAAGCACAATATTACATAGCTTTGAGGTCTGCTATTGCTAAGAGGTTAGCTTGTAAAATCACACAGTATGCATGAACCCAAAACTGTGAGAACGAAGTCCTCCGCTGTGAAGTTTTCTGCAATGTGTTTTGATTGGAGAGATCATAACTTAAAAAATTTTGCTTATGAATGATTACAGATCCCCTCACTAGGAAGTGTGCCTCTTGGGGAGCTCTAATGTGTTCAACTAGAAGGTATTTTGGTTCAAACTATTGTTCAGCTCAAACAATGGCTGATGCATACAAATTTCCAAGTTAAATACAAGAAAAATAAGCCATCGAGAATAGATGTGTCAAATGCAACAATTTGATCACTCATTATTTTCCATGCGTATCAGATCATAGGTCAGCTCTCAATCTATTTTAATTTGTACGCGCCATTGTTTCTTTCATCAAGAGTCTATCAATTAATTCACAGACCACTCCAGTTTGGGTTTCTAGCCCAAAGGAAAACAGCTTCTCTTATTATCTTTTGGTGGATTGAACATGGGAGGAAACAGCTCTCAAACATTTACAGTCTGGCGGTAATAGAACAAGGGTAGGCAAAGCAATATGTCTGACATATTTCTAAGTAATTTTTTATGTGAATAAAGTCATAGTGGAACGAGATACTGCAAAATCTACCATGAGAAAGGATGCACATGCACCTCAAGTCACAAAAATTTGGTTTAGCTTCAGGTAGTTACTCATGTCGCCAATTTTACTGGTTTGGGAATGAAATTCAAAAGTTCCTTAATAGATCTGACAGGGGTAATGATGAATATAGGAACATGAAAGTGAAACAAAGAAAAGAAAGACACCATGGCTCATACCTCAACAACACGCAAGTTGTTATAAATGTCTGGGGCATAGAGGCTGCACAGTTGAGGGTCCTTCTTATCTGAATCAATGTCTATAAAGTCTGGATCACTAGATGTTATTGAAGTCCCAGAAAAGCTAACCTTCCCCGCTGTAACCATTTCAAAAATGTCAATTTTTCCAGCATGAAGCTATATACAGAAAGAAGGCAAGCATATTTTAACCTCTACCTGCACTTTATAACCATTACAAAGACAGGAAAGCAAGCAATGCAATGTACTTTTTATTTTCCAATCTGGAAAGAAATATATTGCTTGACAAAGAGGTTGCAAGACATTTAGTTTCCTGAATGTATTACTCAAACGAGCCTCCACAAGACTTTATATTTTAATTAGCTAAGGATAATGCAATGAACCAAACAATAAGTATATAAAGCTATCTATTTGGTATTACTTGGCTTTAGAGAGTTAGAAGATAAACAGTTATTGATATATAATGTTAATGTTCTTCAAAAGATTGTCCATTTTGCCAGTCCACAGGAATCCCACTTTGTAAGTGCAGTAACCAACAATTTGATTTTGAAAGCACCCCAGATTAAGACTGAGGCAATCAATTTAGCCCCTTCATGGTGCTGACCTTCCCACCTAATAGCACTGAATGGATGCATAAACACGTCTAAGTAGCAATGTCTCAGATCTTTACTATTAACTTAAATTTCATATATCATGTCCAATTTGGATGACAAGAAAATAATTAAACACTGTATCACCTCTCAATGCAGGTATCAATGGTTAGACTCAAATGCATAAAATTGTGAAGTACACAATTCTCACCAAGATGTACATTCTTCCATACTAACCAAACTTAATATGTGTGCATTCATTCCTAAGTATTTCATCATCAACTTTGGAGGTGAGAGAGAGAAATAGTGGGCAAACCATTTGTTGTTGAACTTTCGGGTTGTGAAGGGATTGCACAACTTTTATTTGCAAGCCAATGGTAGTGTATGCAATCGTCCGTTATGCTATTTAACTGAAGAGTTGCATCTCCTTTCAAATTAACCGAACATGTGACTTCTTCTGATTCAGGTTCTACTTTTGCAGTCTCTTGAATGCCTTCTTTCTGCGAATTGGCTTGAGTAACCTGGACTTCTGCTGCTGTAGTTAGGACCACTTTGGACGCACTGGCATGCCCTTTTCTAGCCTGCTTGCTGCTCTTACCCTGGCAGTATCAAAATCATAAAATCTAAGTAATAGCAGTATCATGCTTCTTATTATTTTGCAAAAAAAAAATAAATCTACCAACATGTGAAATTACGAACATCTGAGCAATAAATACCTTTTTCATGAACAGATTGAATATGCATACGATAATTTCTCAAAAACAAAGTACACATCTATAACCATAATTAGACTGACATTACAAATTGACTAAGGATGGCAATTTTAACCTGGATTTTTGTTGCATTAAAACACTTCCTATATGAATTATTACAGCAAACATTTGTGACATCCTGAAGCACTGCTCTCTTCTTACGCTGAAGACCTGCATTGTAAGGTGCATTGGTGTTGTTTTCATCCAAGGCTGTTCTTTTTGGATTTGCTCGCAAAACTCGTTTCTGATCTGGTTGATTAGGTGCATTTAGAGGTAGCAACTGTCCAGAAGCACGCAGTGCAGCTGCTCGAGCACGTGTGATTCGACAATTAAGTTCTCCAACATTAGCAGAAACTACATTTTCTTTCCTCATATTTACAACTCTTGGAGAATTACAACACAAAGCACTAAAATGAAGCTAGAAAAGTAAAACCCTGCATCAACATGGTCAAAATTAGACAAAAGTGAATATCAGAATAAGGAGATCAAGCAACAAGATCTCATAAAAACTATATCCTAAACATAGAGTGGTAAAAGATATGGAAACGTCTGAAAACAGATTTCAGGGACGGATAATCTAAAATATTAACAGCGTGGGTGGAGTTGATAACGCAACAACAAAGAAGAACCTTTTACACTTCAAATTCATGATGAGAATACATATTGTTACATCCATCCAAAATAATGTTTCTCCATACCATTACTTATTTGTCAAACAATATCTCATTACACTTGTGATTTGTTCTGTCAGATTTGAACATGAAAGTAGTATAACTTCACCAGGCCACACAGCACAATCCCACTTCCCCTCCGCCCAAAAAGGGAAGCAAAAATGAACAAAAACATCAAAAGCCAAGACAATGCAGAAAACGAAAACCAAAAAATCAAGAAAATTTGATAAAAGGAAACAAATAAAATATTGAATCTGAAATCTTTGAGAACCTAGGACCTAGAAAAGAAAACATAGATTTGAAATCTTACAAGAAAGCTTTCTTCCAAATCCTGGTTATAATGTTTTACATATGAAGACTTTAAATAGCAATCTAATACAACCAGAAATCAAGGGTAACACGTGCAAAATTCAAAACATTTGACGCAATCAACAATCAACAATAATGTACATGGAAATTTGACAGCAACAAGAACTGAACAATAAAAGGAAAACGAATGTTTCCAAATATAGAGTAGTTTGAAAATAAAAGTAATGAGAAACAAAAAAAAAAACCTTCAACCTACATTTTCTTCGATACCCATTTCCGTTAAAGGTTCAAAATTTTCAAAAACTGAAGAAAACAAAGGCACCTAAATCGATCTGGTGAGTTATAATGTAGACCAATATACATTGAAATTTAACAACAAAAGGAAAATTTTTGCAAATGAGTATTTTCTAGAATTAAATGAATGTGTATAAAGATTGAAAATTTAACCTGATATTTGATCCTTGCTAAGCTCAAAGAAACATCCCTTAGAGCTTAGCAGGAAAAGAGGAACTGTTGGTTTGTGTTTATCTCTAGAAAAGGAAGCGAGTGAAGTGAGCGGGATAGAGTGTGGGTTTAAACTTAGGAATAACAAAAATAAAGTTCAAAAAATTGTTTAAATTGGATTAAGATTATTTTAATCGGAGAGTTTAAGGGTTGACCGGTTGACTATAAAAGAGTGTGAAGACAGTTCATCTCCCCAGGGTTTGTTAATTTGGTTTCGATTTTGTGGTTATGGGGAGTTGGATTGCTTCGATTGACAGTTGGTGTTTTTATGTTTGTAACCCTGTTTGAGATTCGTTTGGCGGCCTTTGACCCCGAGGGATTTGAAGGGTACGATGGTCAATTTAGGGAGCAAACTGGATTTGTTGTTGGATGAGGAGAAAGAATGGCTTCTCTGCGGGCGAAACTACAGCATGTGAAGAATTAGAACCACTGGCTTAGTGACATGTTTTAACGAAATCCAAGAATTTCTTTTTTTATATACATTTTTTTACGGAGGAAGCTTAAAGCATAGACTCGAGAGAATTGACCAAAACATGGTAACGATAATAATAATCCATCCTAAATGCCAAAGGAGAGGAAGCGATCGCATCCTTTGGACACAGTTTGTAACATTGTATTTATTATTCAATATTATCATCACATTAGTTACAAGGTCAACATTACAACTTAAATTTGAAAACTCAATCTTTTGATTTAAAAAATACATACATAAATATTTCAATGCTTTCGACACCAAAATTAAACATGAAAATCTATATTAAAATATAAATCTAAGTTATACTTAAAAGTCAAGTATCGAGTTTAGAATTTACAATGCTAATCTAGAAATGAATTATGAGTATCATCTAACAAAACCGTATGACCATAAAATTAACAATTCTGAAAAGGAAAATGGTTAGATCCAAGATGATAGTTTCCAAATTGAAAATGGTGGTAATGGGCAGTTGGGAGGGGGTTGGGCACATGCTTTGAATTAGCCATCGATTCAAATCATTTTCAAGTTGTTTGGTCCCAATTAACAGGGTGGCATAGCATTGCTGGGTAGTCCAAATTAAAATTCAAAATTTTCCGAATTTTCATGAAGATTTATTATTATTATTATTAAAGTATAAGAAGAATATGGAAGGAAGTAGGGAGGCCGGCAAAATAAATAAATGTAATTTATTGGGTCCAAGGCAACAACCTAATGATTTGAAAATTTAAAAGCCAAAATAAATAAACAAAATGAAGGAGTGTTATTTGAAATGGGGAGAGGCGAGTTTATTAGCATTAACACGTGACATTGCAGCTTTTTAGATAGATTGATGATCAGTTTATCGTCCAAGCTGATCTGGACCCCACATCTCGCAACGGACCATTAATGCTCCACTTTAACCGGTGCTTTTAATCCTTTTGTCCAGCAAAGAGAAAGCCTTCGCTTGCTTTCGATTTTCAAACCTTTTTAATCCTTTTGTCCCAAAAAAGAGGAAAGCCTCGTTGCTCTCTTTGTTTGCTTATAATTTTCAAACATTTTTTATGGTTTTTTTTTTTTGCGCTACCGTGCATTGTTAGTCTTGATATTTAATTTTTACAGTTTTATCTTTCGAAAATAAACGAAACATTTTATTTCAAAAAATGAGAATATTTTATAAATTTATGGTTCAATATTTAATTATCAATAATATGAAAAAAAAAATCATAATAGTCAAGTCTTGAAACAAAGAATAGACAATGCATTAATCGTTGCTTCAACAAATAAAATTCGAATTCAAACTTTTTTTTATTGAGTGATACATATATCACTAAATCAAAATATTAAAGTAATCTTATATTTCTTTAATTATTGATACACAACTCGCACATTTTAACCAATAATTCACTAATAAAAATGACAAATGAGAATAGTAGTGGTTCGAAGCTTTATGATTGGCAGGTAGCTAAGAGAAATTCACTTCAAATAAATATCAATAAGCATAAGTTTAGCCTTTTATAAAAAAATGATAGAAACTTCTTACATAATGAAAACATGCATGCAATACCACCTACCAGATAGATTTTTTAAGCAACAAAATCATTTTTAGGTAAAAGGCCAAATTTATCGTTGTATTTTTTTAATATTTAATTTTGTCACTCTTTTTTTTAATTTTGGTTGAATTTTACTATTGTATTTCGATTTTGGGTGATTTTTGGATAATATTTAAGAAAAAAGGTATTTACAAGAATATTTTTAATAATAAATATATTAATGAAAAATACACAAAATGTGAAAAAAGGGTTGACATGGAAATTTTAAATTTTAAATTTACAAAAAAAATTAAAACTTAAAATTTCCTTTTTTTCCTTTTTTTTTGTCATTATTTTCTTCTTCAAACCACCTGTTATGTACCAATGATGCCATCTATCAATAACAATGAGCAATCAGTCAAATTAGTTAAAAATTTTCATTAATCGACTTAATTGATTTTTTTAAGAGATTTAATCGAACCTATAGACTTTAGTTGACTAATCGACTTTATATAAGGTTATTTTGGAAAAAAATTAAAAAATTTGATTTGATATTAAAATAAAAGGAATACAAGACATTTTCTTATTAAAATAAAATGAATTAGTGATAAGAGTTTTACAAATTGATTTGATGCAAATACTTTATAATTTTTTGTAAGAGATCTGTTTAAATTAAACAAAATAATTAATGAAAAATTTTCACATTTTTGAATAATTAAGTAAAATGATGGTCACATATTTTGTAAATAAATAAATTTTGATAAAAAATTATGTATATATTTATTATGAATATTAGTTTTATAGGAAGTTTAATTTTTTATAAATGTTTTATATGATTATATTAATGATATTAATGTTTAAAACATATTCATAAAAATATAAATTGATTTTTTATTGCATTGGGAAGTTGAACACTGCCATAGATTGAATTTCAAAAAAAAAAATTCCATAGATTATAAATTTACATACATAAAAATAAAAAAATAAAACTTGAAATGAACTAAAAGATTGGTCAAAGTATCCAAATAACCCTTATATCCATATAGTTCGTTAATCTAATCCTTGTATTCAAAATCTAATCAATTTAGTATCTCAATTTTAGAAATTTAAACAATTTAATCTCTCTCTCTTGCGTCGTCAATATTTACGTTAAAGGTGATTACATCAACATTGAAATGGCAATACCATGTCACTCTAGCATGATGACATGGCAATGTCACATTGGACTGACATGATGTCGTGGCAGATCAAAAAAAAATTTTCAAAAAAAAATCTGAGTCACATCACAGAAACTAAATTGAATAAAAATATATAGTACAGAAATTAAATTGAACAAAATTGAGCTGTTTAGGGACTAAATTGAATTAAAAAGATTTTAAAAATACAAATCTTTGAACATATGATACATATACTTATTAATAAGTCAAATGCTTAAGTATAGAAGATTAATGGTGTTAAGAAATAAATATAAATATTTTCTTAATTGATTATTTTATTTCATAATAGATACATTAATTTTTTTTTTTGTAAAAATTAAGTTCGAATTCCCCTTTATAAAAAAAATTCATATTTTATAGAGTTGTTTTATAAGTATCATGATTAAAATCGTTATCACTTAAAATTTTCCTTTTTTTATTAAACATGATATTATTTTGAATGAGATTATTTCAAAATCCATTTATAAAAAGAAACAAAAAGATTTACTTGCCTTTTTAATATATGTTTGAAAATCAAAACTAGCCCATTAAATACTTTAAAGACAAAATAATTTTTCAAGAAATCATCTCATTTGACATTGTGATTATGAGTACTTGACAAATTATTGCTTTCCTTTTAAGATTAAAATTAAAATTGCCAAGAAATCATCTTGCTCTTTCTCTTTCTCTTTATGTGGTGGTGCCTCTGATTGAGTGCTTAATGTTAGCTTAACTAAATTAACATTCTTTCCTAGTCTTCACAAGTATTCTTTCATGTCAATTTTTTTTTCTACAGTTTCCTTTAACTAGTAGGATAGAGTGCTGACTTAAAAATGTTGATAGAATTTAGTACATTTAAAGATAATTGCACCTTTAAATCAAATCAATGTTGTTGCTTGACTGCAATTGCATTTACATTTGCACATTACAAGTGATGGTGACCTCTACCCATGCTTGTTTATGCTATAAGGAAATGGAGCAAGTTTTTGATAAGGCTTTCAATTGTATCCATAGCTAGTTCCAAGAAGAAGAATTTCTATATGTAGGTTGCAACTCTTGCAACCATGATTATTTGTCTGTGGATTGATTGATTGTATTACTTCAATATTTGATATGAAAAAGAAAATTATTTTCTTTGAATGGACCATAGCATTAGGTCACTTTGTCTTTGAGATATTTGATTATATTAATGACAATGGATGAGTCTTGTCTCGACTCCTTTGATTTTATAAGTGAATGGATTCACTTTTTTGTTTTTGAAATGAATTTTGGTTAGTCTCAAAACTTGAAAAAATGTTTTAATGGAGCTTATTAAGTTAAGGACCTATAGTTAACAACAGTAGACATTAGCCGTTGTACACAACGCTTTGTCTCTTTTGAAGTTGGTGACTATATATACTGAACCACACAAGTGCTATAACACAACTTTATCTTACTTGGTAGTTGATGCAATCCTACCCTCTTTGTTATTCAATTGGTGGCTATATGCCCGGACTCACTTTGTTATTAGTTCTTCATATTAGAGCTCCTCACCTTAATTAAATTTGATTTTGATATGTGAATTTTGATGACTTTGAAGTGGAATGATTGTGGACTTGTTTGACAACTTAGAATGATACTCTAGGTTAAATCATTGGGTTCTATGAAAAAGGTATTGAGACTTCAAGATGAAGTATCGATACTTGCTTTTTGGAAATTTCAAGAATTACATTCTGTTTGGAAAGTATCGATACTTTGAATAAAAGTATTGATACCTTGGATCCAGGAGCTTGTGGAAGACATTTTATTTGAAATGTCTCAAAACATCTGATCAATGTATTGATACTTAAAGCCTGTTTTTGAATTTTCATTAGTTTTTAAAAAGGATTTAAATATGTAAAAGGGTTTTGTTTTAACTATTGAGTTTTATAAACACTTTGATTTTGTCAAAAACACTTTGAAATGATTGAGTTTTGCTTGGAAAGTGAATTTTAGAAATATTTGAAAACTTCTTTAATCTCATTGAAATTCGAAATGTTCTTAAGGATTTAAAAAATACAAACGGATTTGTTT